GCGAAGGTATATGGATAGGCGATGATGGGTATTCATGGTGGTTTGATGGATCACGTGGTACGTTGTACAATAATGGGCAATTAATTCTTTTTTCCACCCAATGTTCGCCGGAAGAAAAACAATGTTTGTGGTTGTGGTATTGAAATTAACGGCGAAAATGGGTGTGAGTGTTAATTTTTCGTATGTCTATACCCACACCTCCACCACACCCATAAGAACCATCAAAACATGATAGAGGGACAAGCACTGTCATTTGAAGAAAGCTAAGAGATCATCAAGTGTTAACTCGCCGAACTTCAATATATAGCCTCGAAGTGCTGAGGGTGAGGGTGTGGGTGTGAGTGCAAGTGTTGGTGGGGTGATTCACACCCACACCCCACACCACACCCGCACCCCACACCACACCCGCACCCCACACCACACCCGCACCCCACACCACACCCGCACCCCACACCACACCCACACCCTCAACTCGAATTATAGAATTTATATTAAGGATAAAATTAAAATATTTTGTTTTTTACTTTTCTTATATGACAGCCTCAATTCGAGGTATGAAATTTATATTAAGGATAAAATTAAAATTTTTGTTTTTTACTTTTCTTATATGACAATCTCAACTCGAATTATAGAATTTAGATTTATGACAAAATTTTTATCGTTCGCTTTTTGCTGTAACTATATGAACGCTGGATTTTTTATTTTCGAATCGATATTGTGAAGTTGAACCTTGATTTATATTCGAATTCGAATTAAGCATCTCATGATACTATATTGCTAACAATAGTCAACAAAGACAATGGCAACGAAGACTATGGCAACAAAGACGATGGCAACAAAGATTATAGCAACAAAGAAAATGATAACAACAATAAAATTTACTTTCCTTTCCTTTTTCTTCGCTTCACTTATTCTTACACGCCTATCTTATGCAAGAAAATAAAAGCCTAAAAAAGGAAATAGTACTAAACTAAAGTAACAAATAGTATTAAACCACATCTACACATCGTATTACTTTTTGATCTACACAAAAATGTATATACATGAGAATCAGTTTCTGATACTTCATTCAAACAATAAAAAATCTTTCATTCTTTTACACATAGAAAGAAAACAAAATAACTGACCTTGAATTTGAGATATTATAAAATCGTCACAAATGAATGATTTACACCATTCAATTACTTATTCACAAGTCCAATTCATTTTGCACTTTTTAAAATTTTTCTTGAAATAGAAATTTGAAGAAATGCCTAAAAGTTAAAGAATTTTTTATGTTGACTATATTGAACATAGTATATGTATATATGAAGAAAATTCCATGTCATCTATAAACAGACTTCTAAACTAAAATTATTACGCTTATCACTTCTATATACAATGGTCTATCTAATCGTAACAGTATTCAACAATGGTGGTATCAACTATAAAATTCAACATAATTATGATATAGATATGCATCATGCTTAGTTAAAATGACTTCAGATAAAATAATGTAAATAATGGTTGACTCAATATATGTAACCTTATCAAGATGTCCCACAAATTTCCATGAAAAGAGTGCTCTAAAGAGTAGAACTTGACCATTCGATCAACAAAACAAAGATTACTTAAACAATAAACAGGAAATCATCAAGATTTCGAAATAAAATAATAAGTTTTTTTATTACGTAATAAAAAAAGAACTTTTTTTCATAGAAAAGTATAATAATAAACCCTTGAACGTTGGATAAAAAAAACTCTTCCATACAAGTGTATAATAATAAACCCTTCACCGTATAATAGTGACCCCTTCATCGTAGATTAATAAACTCTCCTGCAATAAACCTTTTTATCTTCATATACCCTTAATTTCATAAACGCTTCAAGCAATAAACCTTTTTAGGGTTTCGGACAAAAATATAAACCCTTCCAGGGTTTAGGGGAAACGTTTTCTAGTACTAGGATTTAATATTCTTCTATTTTTGACCGTCAGCTGATGTAAGAATAAACAAAACTTTTGAGTGACGTACGTTTCTGTTGAGAGAGAAAAAAAACAGAGTCAAGCAGCGAATGGATTATTTGATGCTGAAAACAAATGCAGTCAGTCATTTTTCGATTTTCGATTTTGCTAGCAACATCGACTCGTAAGGCTACGAATAATAATTGTGAGTAGCATTTTAAGTTTTTTTTTAATCAATCGCTCTATTTGTTATGACGAATTCGCCATGAGGCGCTGGCCGTCTTATGTTATATAGTGCAATCTGTCCCAGCGGACTTTTGACACAAAGATTAACAATACAAAAGACTGTTCGAAATCATGAGAAAAAGAGAATAAGACAATAGTGAGTGATTGCTTTAACTAAAAACAAAGTGGCATAGATGATCAAAAAAGGTGTAATTGTCTTTATCGAGGAGCGAGGACAAACGTTTGTTTGGCCTGCCTTTTGGCATTCTCTGTAGCTACGATTTGATTCGATAATGCTTATAAAGAATATTAAGCAGATGTTTATTTTGTAATGCTGAGTCGATAGATATTGGTTCATACAATTGTATACATTTCATCCGTTTCGATAAACACTTCTTGAATCTTTGTTCAATTGTAGGTAGTTTGAAGTGGTTGTGCATCATCGTCTCCTGGACATTGAAACAGGCAATTGATTAATCTCAGGCACCTTCGTTAGAAAGTTGCTACTCGATCGCGAGATGTAATTGAGAATAGACAGTAGATTGATGATAGCATGTAAAGGTGAGGTCAAATGTAAGTGTTGAAAAATTTAACTTTTAATTCGAAAAACGATGGAAATTGTCTGTATATGAATTTCAATATCGTGTATGCTCTTCGTAATTTAACGAATTGAGCGTCGATCATACTGCAAAATGATAACTTCGCGCCAAGGTTGAAACCAAGATATTTGAACGAACTCTTTTGTAATATTTTTACACCAGCGTAGTAAATATCTAATTTTGGACTTTGCACTGCCTTATGATAATTAACAAGTTCAATTTTGTTCGGATTTAGAGGCAGATGCCAGTCATTCGCATAGTTCAGTAAGTTTTGCATATTGATGTTGATGTCCTTTTCAATTTGAATGATTTGGTGTTTACATTTTAAATGAATTGAAGGAATATACACGATTACAATATCATCGACATAAGCATGAACATTGACCGGATTAGCAAACAACTGAGGTAGATCATAGTGACAGATTACGTACATAACAGGACCAAGGCAGCTGCTTTGAGCGACTCTCCGTTTGACATTGATTGTTACTGGCTCTATACCACCATAATCAATTTTTAGAGAACGACTGGTGAAATAGTTTACCATCCAAACTAGATACGCGGGTGGACAGTCAAGTTTATTTAATTTTAGGAGCAGTCCTTGCTGCCATAATTTGTCAAACGCTTGTAAGAAGTCAACGTATATTACTGGAGTAAGTGTATTATAACGCTGAGATTGAGTAATTTGCTCTAGTAGACAATTAACCCGTGATGTTGTTGCTTGATGAGGCCTTGCACCAGATTGTTAGTCAGGTAGGATATTCATTTTTTTTGTTCATCTATTAAATCTAAGAAGAAATAACTTTTCATAGACTTTACTAAATACAGGTAGCATTGAGATCGGACGCAATTGATTTGTAGCAGGTGCGGGATTGTCAGACTTATTAAGATAAATTGTACTTGCTAGCTTCCATTCACTACCCCAATAGGCTGCACTGAATAGTTGATTATAAGCGTGTGGAAGTATGACTTGAAAGTGTTCAGGTATTTCTTTTATCATTTTGTTCGACACTTGATCGAACCCGGATGAGTTTTTACTTTTCAATGAACGAATTGTATTTGTAATATCTTGTTCACTAAAACGAAGATCAGATCGATTGGATATTAATTTAATATCATCTTTATCTGCTGTACTATATAATTGCCATAATTCAATAGCTTCTTTATCAAGTATCTTCGTCATATCCAGTAATGGTTCAGCATGTCGTTCAGCGAAATGTTTCGCTAAATTCATTACAATATATTCCGGTGATCTATGTACTATATTTTTCTCGGTAATAGCAGAAAATTCGACCGATTTCTTTTTGTTCAATTTTTTCACGGTATGCCAAAATGTAGTTGGGTTCGGTGAAACAACACTTTATATAAATTGTTCCCAGCTTCGTTGTCGATGAGCTCGAAGTTCTTGCTTGATCGGTATATTCCATGTACGCAATCTTAATCGATCGTCTTTTTTTTTGTTTTGAGTGTCGAAATCGATTTTGAAGATAATGTCTGTGATTAGAAGAATTCGTAGTGAAGATGAGATGGATGGTCGTTTTTGTTTGACTTCCTGCCATACTGTTACCCGAAGTTTAAGAGCATCTAGAAATTGTTGTAAATTAAGGAACCACTTGTAAGTGTTGTTAGGATCATTCATTGCACTTTCGTGTTCAGCTTGTAGTTGATCATGTAGAGTAATAAGAATGGATGTGTATAATTTTCAATACGCGCGAGGTACAAGGAGTTTGGTATCTAATGCCTTGAGACGAAAGAATTTTGTTAATATAGGTAGATGATCACTACATGTATAAGGTAAAGATTGACTTTCTGACGTTTCGGGTATTTCATCAGATATTATGAGATCAATAGTTGTATCTGAACGTAGTGAAGTTTTAATACCAGCATTTAGTACGTTCAGTTTATGTTCGTTGAGCCAGTTAGCTAAGTCACGTCCTTTATTATTTACCTAAGGACAACCCCTGTCAGGGTGCTTGGCATTTAGATCACCTACAATGATAATCTTTTTTGAGTGTTTAAGTAAAGTAGACATTGATGTTAACGGAAGTTGATCTGTAGGTGGAGAATAAATGCTGGCAACGACGAATTGTTGATCTTCAATTATAACACGAGCTGCAATAATATTTGGTTCTTTAATATCCATCAATTCACATTTTAATCTATTATCTATGGCAAGAACAACTCCACCATGAGGATTTGTACCTTCTTTTGTAAAAATATTGCATGAGAAGAGAAGTTGCTTGATATTTTATCCGGAATAATTGTACCCAGGAGAGTCATTCCGAGACTAGGATCCTATCGGATTCCGACAAGGGTCAGACTGTGAATATACCAAATATCCATGGATTCCAATAAAACCAACGAAATCCTATAGGATTCCAGGATCAGGACCTACAATCGGATCCTTGGCGTAGGAATTCCATAGGGTCCAGTGTTGGAAATTAACGGAATCCGACATGAACGTATGACCCTAGTGTTCTTATGAGAAAATATGCATATTCACCCCTAATTAAGAAAATGTTTTCTTTTCCATCGGAACCGACAGTCAATCCGTAACCTGGAATCCCATCGGATTCTGTTGGGTGATAGGACCCCATCAGATCCGATAGGATCCGTCATAGGATTCATTCACCTGGATACCTAGTTGATTAAGAGAAATAATTACTGGCTCATAAACATTCACCATGTCAATAAGATCGACTTGATTTGAGTAAAAATAACGAATATTGTAATGCAGCAATGACATGATGTTTGATGACGGTTTTGGTTGACAATAATGTTGTTGCCAGAAAGTAGATAGATCTTGAAAATTTCTGGACCAGCAACATTTTTCTAACGTTTCAATTCCAATTTGTTTTTGATGATCCGAGAGTTCATGTAAAAGAGGTAATAGCTTGTCCGACAGTTCTATGTATTTGTATCTATTGAACTGTGGTGAATTTGAATTATTGAGAAGAGACATTAGATTCAATGTAGTTGGCGTGGTCAGATGCTAATTTCTTGTTGTGATAATTCGATTGATGTTTTTGGTTCACTAAGATTTCTTTGATTTTCTTATTCAATTTTTCTAAATCTTCTTGAGTATTTCGATTTCTGGACGATTGTGATACTAAACGGGCTAATTCTTGAATAGTTGGAAGAATTGTTTCATGAAGAATATTTTCCATTTCAACTTGACGATCGTAATAGACATTTATTTTCTTATCGATATCACATAGCTGTGATGGCAGACGAGAAGCGAATTCATCCAACCGACGTTCCATTTTGTTCAAGAAAGAAGACAAAGTATATTCAATATTTTTCGGTGAACTTCGTTCACGTTGATTAAATTTTTGAGAAGATTCTGCAGCTTGATGTGGAATTTCTGTAGATAAATACGATTGATTATCATTTAATAATGCTGGATAATCACTTCCTTGAAAATGATATTGATGTCGTTGTCGTTGTCGTTCAGCTCGAATCAATAGTTCTGATCTTTGTCTTTTTGATTGTTCCGCAAGAGCATGACGTTTTTCTTGTACTACTGGACATGCTGAATGACCAGATATATGGTCACCACCACAGTTGATGCACCTTGAGTGATGTCATAATATCCTTACACCCGGTAACGACTTATTAGCACAAACACACTACACTATCCACATTAGGTGCATCCACTTTTGGGTATTCACATTTGGGTATCCACATTTATATATACATAAATGTGGATACCCAAATGTGAATACCCAAAAAGTGGATACACCAAAACAACTCAAATTGCTCAGCTTTTCAAAACATATATATATATATATAAATGTGGATACCCAAAAAGTGGATACACCAAAACAACTCAAATTGCTCAGCTTTTCAAAACATATATATATATATATAAATGTGGATACCCAAAAAGTGGATACACCAAAACAACTCAAATTCCTCAGCTTTTCAAAACA